TATTAACCACTTGGATCAATGGTATAAGAATTACGAGCCCATTGGCACACAAAAATTTAATGATGATTTAATTACCACTATTGAGTGTTCTCACAGATCAAGTGGGCAGGAATAGGAAACAAAAACCCTCCACTATAAATAACAATAAAAACCAATGTAAATACTATAATGATCCACAGCAGCTAGGAGGATTGGTAAAGCATACCGTGAATGTAGAACCCCAGACCTGCTCAGAACGTTCCAAGCTGCACTAACAAATGCAAGGAATAGAAAGGAAGAACTTAGGCAACAGGAATGGGAACAGTTTGTTAGTGGATTAAATAGGTCCACCCCTTTGAGTTTGGCTTGGAAAGGTATAAATAAAATAACCAGGAAAAAGACTGGCAATGTTGCTCATCCCTTTCCTCTTGAAAAAGCAAATGACCTCATAAATGACTGGTCCAAAACATCCAGGCATGAAAGCCTTCCATCTCATATTAGAAAAAATTTAGAGAGTACTTCTGAAGAAATGTTGAAACTGATTAATTTTATGAGCCAAAATATTGATGAGAGGTGATTGCCTCTTTACCGAGTATGAATTAGATAATGCATTAACCAAAGGTCGATCAACTGCTCCTGGAGAGGATGGTATAACCTATGATATTCTCAGAACCTCTAAGGCACGTGCCTGATAACCCTTTGTTGGCACTGTATAATCTCAGTTACATTGAGGGCGTTCTTCCTACTTCCTGGACCAATAGTCTCATTGTGCCTATCCCTAAGCCCCAACAGCCTGATACATTTAGGCCGATCTCCTTAACTAGTTGTCTTTGTAAAACTTTTGAAAGAATGATGCTTAACAGACTGTACTACAGAATCAGACATCAACTTTCCCCCTACCTCTATGGGTTCATGAAAGGTAAAAGTGTGCAGAACTGTATTTCCACCTTTCTCACTGCACACACCTCTACTAGTTTTACCACTTTTCTTGATCTAAAATCTGCATTTGATATTGCGAACAGAACCGTTATACTACATGAACTAGCCAAAATGAATATTGGTGGTAGCTTACTCTGCTGGATAATAGGATACCTGTCAAATAGAGTATCCTCTGTCCTTTACCAAGGCTTCAGAAGTGATTCTAAAGAAATGGTCTTTAGGTACACCGCAGGGAGGAGTTCTTAGTCCCATGCTATTTTAATATTACTGATTAATGCTCTCTAAATGCTCTACCTGCCTCACCTAAACATATAGCTATAAGCATGCTGATGATATTCTTGATCATCACAGGGCATAAGAAGTTCAAGCCAATTGTAGATCGACTAGGCCTCATAATATCTTCCTCTAAAACTATAAGATATTAAAAGCAAACGACATCCCCCACCCATCTATTTCAGGGTGAAATCATTAGCTACGTTAAAATTACAGGTTCTAGGGTGTAGGATGTACCCTTTAACACTAAAATTCATATCCAAACTAAACAAGAAATGTAAAGCTAGGCTAAATGCTCTCAAAGTGTTGCTGGCTACAATCCCAACTATGGTGCAAATGTGAGAATCGTGAGAATGAGTACATAGCCTTTGTAGGTCCTTAATTGATTATGCTGCTCCCATGTTGATATTAGCTAGAGGAAGTTTATCTCCGACCCTTGGAGTTAATGCAAAATGAAGCTTCAGAATTATTCTTGGCTGTCCCAGATCTACAAAGTTCTTAAATGAGGAAGGAGCTTGGTATTTCTAGTATCAGTGATAGGATTGTTGAAATAACACTGTACTCGGTATTAGAATGTGAGATACGAACCAGACTCACATGTCACAGTGATCTTACCAAGTGTCTAGAGGTATATACAACAGATCTAAATGGATTGTGGAAAACGTGCCAATTGCATTAGTTTTATAACCTGCATGAACTGTATCACTGTAGGCAACAAACCCCTCAAGGAAGGTTCCTTGATGTTGGTGAGGGGGCTCTTGGAATTTAGGGAATTGGATTCTGTGCTCCAGTTCCCCAAAATTATAGCCTGAATGCCTTCCACATACCCCCCCAGGCGCTGTAAATCCTCGGGTTTAGCGCTTACCCCTTGATTTTACTAATAATGAAGGCAACAAGAGAGCATTTCACCCCTCCATGGAAGATGTGTTCATTTAATATCACATACCTACAAGTCCCTCCCAAGAAGCTCATTGCTAGTAATCCCTTCCTTAAATCTCTTGTTAGAGCAACTGCTCAAGAAGAAATTTCTCACCTAAGCTGGTAGTAACAAGTTTATCACAAGTTATAACACTGATGGATCTAAACAGGAGTCTTCTGGCAGGGCTGCATCTGCTCTTGTTGCCACCTCCCTAGTTAAGAACGACGGACGACAACAACAATGGCGACGGGTTATCGTAGAAGAGTTAATACTGTGTGTATTGACCTTATAAAGGGCACGTTCCCCAGCTCATCGATTATGTGTTGGGCCGATGATCATCTGCGATGTAATATGGATTCCAGCGTGGAGTCCCCTGTGTGGCGTTGCTTAAATGGACTATCACGGATATTCGTCAAGTTTTGCGATACCAAGACCTATGAGCAGATTGTCAACCAGTATCAGGATGTTAGCAAGCAAGTAAACCCCAGCAGTCACAGTTAAGTTGCACGACGTTTCACATTACTATACATGGTTACGTGTGCGAAACGTGCCTTTTGAGGCTAACGAAGTTGACATGTGGACGCCTTCAAATGCTATGGGACGATCCACCAGGTTACTATGTGTCGGTGGTCTGTGGCCGCTTTGCTGGTTTTACCAGGAAGGGTCGTTGCGTTAAAAATGTCCCTGCGCCAACCAATCCCTTCGTACATAAACCTAGAGGAGTTCCGTACCCAGAAGTGTACGTTACGTATCCTGGTAGCGACTAACTTGTGCTGTGCGAGCTTTGGACCACATTGCTGCACAATGCGTCAAGCGTCAGCCGCCATAAGGAAGTGGTTCATCGTCCGGGATGGTGAGGCTCCTCGACGGAATTTGGCAGATGAAAGTAATTCGAGGACTTACCGCGCCTGAATCGTGGAGTGATGAGGTGGATCGGGCCATGCCCGTGGAGTCATCCTGCGTGACTTACCTGGTACGGTCACACCACGATGTGGTAGAATATGTATAGTGGCCGTTGAGCAGCCCCCAAGCAAGAAGAGGAATGCTGACTATGGACGCTAACGTTGTATCGACTTGAGCGACCTTTATAGCTTCGCAGGAGATATGATCTGTGCGTGTGTGCTGCGTTGGAGTGTTCAGATGAGGAGAGTCCACAGTTTAAAGGACGTCGATCAGTTTAATAACGTGATTGAGGTAGAAGGTCCGAGAGTTCATACTGTTGCGGTAGAAGTCACAAGGAGAACATTACAGGTCTGATAAAAGTGGGATGCTGTTTCTAGGAAGGCGTGCGGCATCCCCGCCCGACTCCGACGATGTCTTGGACCCCTGGCCAGCGCTGGGGAAAAAAGACGTGGTCGTGAAAGTACGGGGTTGGGGCGTCGCGTAGTTCAGGTGACAGCGGAGTAATATAACAAAGATGTACAAGGTAAAGAGGCGCCTTTGGAGTGTCAAACTAAAGGGGCAAAAGGGGTGTGGGTGGTCCCTCGAGGAAGCCACCGTTAGCAAATTTGGTGTATAAACCATAAATGTTAAATGGTATGAAAACTAACAGAAGGCAAGTGCAGGTATGTGAGTGGTTGCATCGCTTTGCTGTAGATGTATGTTTCGTGCAAGAAACACAACCCATAAGTTGGAAGTTCGTTTGCGATAGATTGGTTATGATGTTTATATGGGCTCACTCGATGTCGTTTGAAAGGGTGGTTAGCTGTGTTAATAAAGCGACCAGCCCGTTCGTGATGAAACATTGGGAGGAAGGGGGGGGGGTCGAGTGGTACGCGTATAGGTGAGTGGGGTACTCAACGGGTGGGTTTGTAGGAGTTATATGGGCCAGCTGAACATGATGTTAATATAAAAAATTTACTTTGTTAACGGACGTTCTTGTGTACTTTTTGAGATCTCTGCCTGATATAAACGTAGTTGGTGGCGACTGAACTGTGTGGTGCGGCCGTATAAGACGTAGAAACCGGAGGGGAGCGGGTTATTGTTCGATTATTTTGGGTGATTTGATTGTCGGGGCTGGGTTGGTGGATGTAAAGTGGAAGCAGTGACCTTTTAGGATTGAGCACACTTTCGTGCGAAGGACTATGCTGCGCGCTTAGACAGGGTATTGTGTCTCGGCGCGTAAGTTGAACCAAGTGCGTGTGTTAGATGTGTATTTCTCGTCATCGCGGTGTTCTCGTGGAGCTTGAACAGGAGAGGTCTCCCGACTCGTTGTTAAAGGTATTGGAAGTTAAATACTCGTTTACTTCAAAGTGATGAAGATAAGACACTCTTCACGCATTATGGAACGTCTCTGGGAGTAGACTCCTGGAAGGTAGTGATTTAGTGCGACATGGGACGAGGTTATGAAGCCTCGCATTAAGGATTTTTTATGTACATCGGGGTAAGAGAGGAGGCCTCTCGATTGGGAGTATGGACTTTTGAGGTCTGGGGATTCTTTACGCATGTTATGCGCAAGGGAGTGTATCTGGAATTTACCTGTGGGACGGAGATTGACACTCTCAAAAGAATCACATCCAGATGCTGAAAAATACGGTTTTTGATGGGGCGCGTATTTCGAGTGGAGTGAGTGAGGCTGTGTGGGGTGATAAGCCGTCCGCTTGTGTCTTTCGTAGTCAGACACAAAGGCTGCAAGGCGGACCGAAATCGTGAGTTTAGTGGTTCAGGATGGCGTGAAGGGATAGTGAGGGTCAGGTTGTAACAACAACTGATGGAATAAGCTATTTCGTTGATAAATGTTTTAATACAAAATGCTAAATTAAAGAAGTAAGCGTGGATGCATACGGGAATTGGGGCAGAATGTACGATTGCTGCGTTGAATGATGATGATCGCTTTCTCATGGGTGGCCTATAACTTTTGAAGTGAGGTGTGGGAGGCTTGCAGGGAATGTGCAAGGGTAAGGCGCAGGTATTGATGGCATTCCCTGTGAATTTTATATTCAACATTGGGAGGTCTAGGACTTTATGGTACGGTTTTACTCAATGCGATGAAGGAGGGGGGTAGTTTAGGTATTCTCAGAGTACGGCGGTTTTGGTGTTAGTTAAAAAATTGTGACATGCCCGTATCACTCAAGGTTATCGACCGATATCACTTAGTGTCGTGATTATAAATTAATATGCAAAAATTCTAATGAATAGGATTTGAAAGTGTTTGACAGTAATACATAAGGGTCAGATTTGGTGTGCCAGGTAGGACAATGTATGATGGTCATGGGCACTATTCAAGAGAGTTTTGTTCGAGGAAATGCGCGAACGAGGGGCCGGGGGGGTGGTGTTTGTTTAGGAATGGCAAGTGCTTTTGATAGTGTAGAAAATGGATGTGCTGTGGAAGTTTATTGAGAATCGGCAGGGGTTTTGGTCATGAGTCATCACGTGGGGCTCGCTCTTTGTATAAAATGGTGCTGGGGTTTAGAGTACAAATTAATGGGAAGTTAGGAGACTTAGTCAAATTGCATAGAGGCATTTCGCAGTGGAGCCCTATGTCTCTAAATGCTCTTTTGATTGCTTGCAGGCCCTTTTATTGGACAGTTTGGGGCGGGGTGGTGTAGATCGTCGTGGGGTTCGAGTAAGGGATGACCTGCCTAGTAGGCTTATGTAGATGATACAACTGTCCTCCTAGTTATTTTCGTCGAGGGCAGCAGTTGAGTGTGTAGGAAGATTTGTAGTCTAGATATATTTGGTAGAGCACCAGGGATGCGACGATAACAAATGAAAAATCAAAAGATTATGAAGTTGGGAGATTAGGGCGAGAGAGGAGGTAGGTGTAGAGACTGGGACGGATGGTTGACTGTGTTACTATATGTGGATACGTATATAGAGAGGTTAGATGAGACGAGGGCATGGTAATTCGGGGAGGGTGGCTAAAATAATGTTTTTGAGGCGTTTAATAGTATAAGGGCCCGACATTTAAACCTACACCAGCGAGCGATATTAATTATGTTCTTCTTTATAGTAAGTTTGGCACGTTGCTGCGCTGTATCCACTAATAAAGGGGGATATCACACATCTTTTAAATAGAGTTTATAGATTTCTGTGGGGTTCAGGTGCGACTGGCTCACAAGAGCGGTGGTAGAGGGACACCAATGCGTCTAAGGAGGGTTAGGTTTGTTCCTTTAAAAGACCGAGTCCTTGCTTGTTACGTGGAAACGTCGTTTTCTCCGACTGGGTGGCAGGCATGGTGGTTTTACAGAAATGTATCGTGACCTGCGCAGTTGGTGGAGAACGGGCAGATTGTAATCAAATGCGATACGATGCTACGTGTGTTACTGTGCATGCGAGGACGTGCGGAGCGTTAAATTGAGTACTTTGGATAAGAGTGGGTATGGTGAAAGTTGAGGTGAAAGTTCAAGAATGATCCCCATGTACGCGTGGTGTGATATATGGAAGCGAGTTCATCAGTTACATCTCCTTCCTCGAGTACGACGAAAGTGGTTTTTAAATTTTTGGCACGGGATTCTGCCCGTCCAAGGTGGTGTTGTCTAATCGGCGTGTTGTAGAGGAGGACCGGAGTTGTTCATGTGTGCGAGGGAGGACGAATCAGCGTTTCACGTGTGTATTTTATGTGAAAATTTAGGTATAGTACGTGGCGTGGTTAGCAGGGTTTTACGAACGGTAGGGGGGGGAGGTTTTTTTGTCTGTAATTAGGGGTTGAGTTTTGATCGTGGGTGGTCGACATCTGTGTACAACGTGCAGTGTCGTATGTCGTAGCCGATTGTATATATATGTGTCATGGGCTATGCGACATGTTGAAGGTAATAGGCAGAAAGGGTTTTAGCGGGAACAATTCTTAGAACTAAGTGTCGAAATCAGTTAGTATATGAGGGAGATGGGAGGCAAGATTTCCAGTCTGCATACGGAGCGGTTAGGTTAAAGGATTTGAGTAATTTGTGTTTTGTTCAATTGGGTAATCTTACGGGTGGTCAGCTGCGTTCTAATGTGATGTATCATCTTAATGTTGTATATATGTCTCCAATGTTGTATGTATGTCTCCAATGTGATTGCCTTTTTATTCTTGTTATACCAATCATTGGTATTTGTATAGACGTGTTTTCCCTTTTACATGTAAAATATGATATTGCAGGTAATTGGGATGTATTTGTCTCGATCCATTAATACTATGTCTATGTTGACGTGTATGAGTGTGCTTGTGCGTGTGTGTTATTGTGTGTGTTGGTTTTTTAACACGTTTTATGCAGTCTATATACTTACCCATGTGTGCTGGCCATTGGTATATACCCAAGTTTGACAAATTCTTTAATAATGTTATAATGTGTTGTGTTGTAGTATTAAAACCATCGATCAATACTTTGTGTGTGGTGTTTACCTTTATATTGTACAGCACCGTTTGTCGTGTGATTATGACGTGGAACGGATCTTGTTAATGTATTTGACTATAAGAAATACTTTCTAACCAATGATAGAAATAAAACTGTTCTATATTGAATAATATACTTATTGCACTTGCAGGTTTGTTTTGTAAGCCGTGACGGCAGTTATATCCTTTACCTTTACAAGTTTAGGGAAACAGACTGTATCTTGTGTTTTATGCTTCATATTCTTACGTGTCATAAGTTTCATACTTTTGGATATGCATTATAGATGTGTTAGGGTTAACTTAATTTATTGTGCACTCTTGTGGGTCTGATTTTATATTGTACTTTTCAGATAGGGGGGTTCTTGTCTAGGGAGGGGGGGGGTTCTAGTTTGCCGGGCTACGGTATGTGTAAACATACTGTGCCCTTTGAGTTTGTATCTTATGACGTTTGTCATCGTACAGAATACTTGTTTTATTTTGTTTGTCGTTAATACGGAAGTATGTATCAATTCTCTCCTTACTTTTGTTACTGTTGGTGTTTATCATTAGATAATTTTGTTACATGTTTTAAA